AGAGGTGGTGGGTGGGAACCAGCCCTGCTGACTGCACTCCTCTAGCACTCGCTCTTTCTGCCTAGCAGGCTCTGGAAAAGTGTCCCCCACCAGAGGGATGGGGCCCCTCCACCAGCACCTTCGGATTCAGCCTGTTAGGCCACCCCTTCCCTGCTTCCACAGGCGGGCTGGGCAGGACTGGGGAGCTGGCAGAAAGGCTGAATGGGGGGCTTGGGGGAGGGCGCCCCGCCCCGCTGGGCGTCCGGCCCCGCCTCCTCCTGGAAAGACTATTTAGCTCTGGAGGTGCCTGGGCTCCGTCCTAAGAAGGACTCTGGAAACTGCCCTTTCCTGCGAGGGGGTCTCCCCAGGGAAGGGTGGCTCCAAGCCAGCCCCCCACACACACACACCTGCCAGCTGACTGCCCTTCAGCCCTGGCACCATGGCCTGGCTCCTGCCCGTCACCCTCGGTTGCATCAGCCTCCTCTACCTGCAGCTCCCGGGCACGCTGACCCACTGCCAGGGCGGGAGCCGGCAGCCCACCCGGCCCAGGTGAGTGGGGCTCAGACCAACCTGTCCTCTGGCCAAAGCTGCAGAAACCAGAATGCCTGGGGAGGCCCCCTCCACCACCCCCTTCTCACCCCCGCCCCCCATGGGGAAGACGGCCCTGCTGCTAGGGCTTACCACCTAAATCCAGAGCTAGCCCCCTATGCCTTCAGCAACCCCTGAATAGTGTAAGAGTCCCTTCTTTCTTTGCCTCCCCTCCCAGGGCTCTCCCCCTCCTCAATAGAGAGGAGGGGGAACCAGAGGCTGGAGGGGTCCTCAGGCCTGCCCACCTCCCCCCACTCCAAGGGCCGAGGGGGAGTCCCTCGGCCCTGAGCATAATGACCCACAGAAGCCAGGGGTGCCCTTTTCCCATGAGGCACAAGGGAATGGGACATGTGACCTGGGCTACTGAGATGGCTGAGTAGCCAGGACCCCAACCCTGAGCTCCAAAAGGGCCTGGGGCTTCCCCTGGCAGCGCTCCAGGTGGAACGTGGGGGTCCCTGAAAGGCTGGTTCACAGAGTTTACTTCCTCCATCTCCCCCTGCAGGGAGCCTCCAGCTGGGACCCTTTCCAATGGCCTGCAGCCCAGGTACCCTGCACCGGGACCTGTGATCTGCAAGCAACCCCAGGCCCTGCAGCCACAGAGGAGCGCCAGCCTGCCCCCTGCTATGGGTCAGCCTCTCCGGAATGGTCCTCGTCGACGCTTGCGCCCCCCAAGGCCTAGAGCCCAGCTCCTGCGGGTGGGCTGTGTGCTGGGAACCTGCCAGATGCAGAACCTCAGCCACCGCCTATGGCAGCTCGTGGCATCGGCCGGCCCACGGGACTCAGTTCCCATTGACCCCAGCAGCCCCCACAGCTATGGCTGAGATGAGGCAGGCCATACCCAACCAGGTGGTGCACCCCAATTCCAGAGCTGCAATTGAGCCCCAGCCCCAGCCCAGCCCCCAAGGGCTCCTAGAGACAACAGTTACTCCAACAGTGGTGGGGGCCCCCGAGGAGACCCCCATACCCACTCACCAGGTGCTGCAGCAAGCAGCCTTGAATGGCTTTGGACACCTAAACCATGAACTTGTGTAGCCCCAGGCAGGTCCACAGGCAGAGCCCATACACCCAGGGGGTCTGTACACACCAGGAGTGCGCAGGCTCAGGGGACAGGTGCAAAGCAGAGGGCTTCAGAGGGAAGAGGTCTGTTTGAGGACATGGAGCAGAAGTCAGTCCTAAACATGCAGTGCCACCTCCAGGCAACAGGAGACAGGGCCCGAGTTGGCCTGGTGTGGCCCTTTCCCTGATGGGCCCGTTGTCAGAGTAAACCCGGTTTTAAGCATGCACAGTTGGCCAGCTCCAGGTCCTGCTCCCAGCGCCCTTGAGACCCCCCCTGTGCTCCCCAGGACCGGGTGAGGGGGGACAGGTTATGCTGGGAACCGTGCTGCCCCAGCTGTCAACTCTGGAGCCTGGGCCTATGGTCGAAGTACAAGCCCCTGCCTGGATCCCCTGTGGGCAGCTCAGAAGAAGGGGTAGGAGTTCAAGAGCCACACGGGGTGCTCTGGGCAGAGCAGGGCCAGGCAGGCTGGCTTGCAGACAAGATCTCCCAGTTCAAATAGCTCCATGAAATCAGAACCAACCACCACCTCCAGTGGGGAAGGGATTGGCGAAACAAGGGTGGGGGCTCCACAGGCTCCACAGGCTCCCTAACCTCTGCCCTGCCTAGCGTGGGGACTGGGTAGGACCAAGTGTGGGGACAGCACGAGGCTGGAGCAAGCTTGTCAGAAACCTGGGAGGGGGGACTGGCGCACAGCCAACATGCATAGAGCTCTTGTGTGTGTCCCCCAGGTGGGGCCTTTACACGTTATGACCCCATAGCCCCTCAACCCAAAGTCCTGACACCCCACACCACATGGGCATGACCAGGGGTTCAGAAAGGTGGTTTCTTTCATTTAGCAAACACTCATATAGCACTTAATTTGTCAATATTTGCCCGTGTCACCCTTTCAGTCACCCAGTGAGGGGAGCACAATCATTACCCCAACTTTAGGGACAGACACTGCAGCCACTGAGGTCAGGGACAAAACCACGGTCAGTGCAGAGGTCGCCGAAAAGCAGCTATGTGAGGCGGGAGCTCATGGGCGAACCTCAGAGCCTTGTGCCCGTGGTCACTGAGGGGTGTCAGCAGAGGCAGGCAGGCAGGCAGGGAAGGCCGTGAGGAGAGGCAACTGGGAAATAAGGACAACAGGTCCAGGGGGCCAAGTTGGGGCAAAGTCCTGGCCTGCCCATGGTCTGGTCCTGCACACGGGATGTTCCCCGTCAGCGACATCCCCCCGCGTGCACCCTCCTCACCTTAACACAGGTTTCCGGGCCCCCGGGATTGGACCTTGGTGTCCTAACCAAGACACTCCCCGAGCCTTGAGCCTTGGGCTGCTTTTCCTTGAGGCCCGATGGACTGTTGCCCTTAACGCATCGCTGTGCTGTGTCACGAGGTCACCTGCCATGAGGTCACCTGCCGTGGTCAAAGCATCACACCTCGTGTCTGCTGACCCCTGAGCTCCAGGCCATTCCCTGGCCTCCTACCTGACGCCCCCCTTGGAGACCTTGGGGCAGCACCCAATCTCCCCCAGTCTCCCTATCCACTGCCTTCTCGCAGCTCCTGCTTTAGCCAAACCTGTTGTTAACCTAGAAAATAAAAGGCCTTTCAAAGTGAGAGACAACAAGCGCTTATTTGAGATTTTTAAAAAGTAGCTATTCCCAAATCACTGATTCAAGCAGAAACCCGAATAATGTTCCAATCAGGAGACAAAGGCAATGGGTGTTTATGAGAAGGGGAGGGGACAGTGACATCCATGGAAGGAAGGCGTTGTTATTGGTGCAGATAACGTAATATAGTGATGCTGATTCTCAGTGATGTTTTAAATTTTCAGCCCTATAGTCATTCGTCCAGTAGTCATATCTGCTTTCTAGTCATCTTTGCAAACAGTTCTTTGGGACACAAGGTTGCTTTTGGCCCCATGCAAAAGTTATTTTGCCCTGTTTTAACATCCAGAGATTTGAGGCATAAGATGTGCAAGGCAGTTCCTCTGGGTCGGCAGCTCCGGCTCCATTTATGTTTTTGCTTACATTTTCCCCCTTTTAATCAAGGTCTTTCTTTCAGAGCTCTGCTGCTCAGTTATCCGAAAGCAGCATTAATAAGTTGCTAAAGCATCGTTGCTTCTCCATCGTCAGGTGGCTCGTTTTGGGTACGTCACGCCTGTGTCTGTCCTTCATCTCCAGGAAGGCTCGTTCCCAGTATATCTTGTCCCACGGAAGGGGGAAGTGGTTTTTTAGGAGCCTTAGGCCACATTTGAGGAACCAGAGGGCCAGAACAGGGGAAGGTTCTACAGTAGTGTTGGCTTAAGGGCAAACATCTGTAGTTCCCGGAGGTTTCTCATGTGAAGTCTCAGAGGCCTCCGTGATTGTCTCAAAATGCCAAGTGACGACTTTCTAGCATCGAGCTTTGCAAAACAAAGACTTATAACACCAAACATGTCTGTAATAATAAATGAAATGCTAAGTTCAACTTGAAGAACAGATCTGAGCCAGGAGGCCATACCTGAGGGCAGTCAGCCAAGATCCTGGAGAACTGGAAGCTGTCAATGGGCCCCGTAGTTAATCATTTGGCCTGTGCCCAGATTTTATCTAGTTTTATCTCTATTTTACCAGAGGTGTTTTATCAAGAGCAACAGGAATTATTAACAACAGAGCAACCGCACCTCGTTCAGCTAGGATATGGTCAAGGGCAAATCTATTCTCTAATGTATGTTGTGCTGCAGAACTTAAAAGATTTTTCCTGATTGGCTATTGCTGTGGCGGTCTTTGCAATACTTGCCCAAGGAAAAGTAGTTTTGCACATCTGGTCCTTCACTGGGACTGACGTCGCCAGGCATTGAACATCCTTGACCATGTGTGTAATCAGCTGCATGTTTTTAAACCTCACTGGAGGATATCTTTTCCGTTGATCTTTAGAGAGAGTGGAAGGGAGGGAGAAGGGTGGGGAGAGAGAGGAACATGGATGGGAGAGAGACACATCTACTGGGTGCCTCCCACATGTGCTCCACAGGCCCCCGACAGGGGCGGGGAGCCAACCGGCAACCGAGGTTTGTGCCCTTGACCAAGAATTGAACCCTCGACCCTTCAGTCCGCGGGCCAGTGCTCTAACCACCGAGCAAAACCGGCCAGGGCACCAGTTGCATGTTTTGACCTGCGAGGTAGGTTTAGAGATGATGCCCCATGTTGTCTTCCCAGACAGAAATTAAGGGGGGAAAGAAAACAATAACTATTAGAGTGAATGCTTGGTGAGATAGGAAGGAATTAAAGTAAGGAAAAAAGAGCCCTGCTGGTGTGCTCAGTGGTTAGAGCGTTGGCCTGTGCACCGGTCAAGGGCACGTACCTGGGTTGCAGGTTCATCCCAGCCCGGGGTGGTCGGAGTGTATGCAGGAGGCAACCGATAGATGTGTGTCTCTCACATTGATGTTTCTCTCCCTCTCTTTCTCTGCCCCCCTCGGGAATGGGAAAGCAATGGGAAAAAAATATCCTTGGGTGAAGATTCACAAAAAATAAGGAAGGAAAAGGGAAGGAAAGGCAGGTGTAGCTTACACAGGCCTGGTCTGGGGTCTTGGGTTAGCTCCACAACAGGTTTCATCTGCTTCACTTCGTAGCAATTTTAAATTTCACATCCTCTGTTGGTTGAAGAGCCCAGTTAGCTGCCAGAGCTCTCTTTACGTTAGAAACGTGGATCCAAGAATCAACACCTTTAATCTGGCCACACGTAGGTCAGCGAAGAGCAGCTGAAATTCTGGAGGGATCAGGTAGGAAGGTAAAGGAAATGTTTTAATTTTTTTACAAAGGTATAATTTACCAAATTGCCGTAGGTCATAGGTAGTGTAGGAGAAAAAAAATCTTATATCTGGAAAATCTTATATCTGGAAAAGGATCAGAAACCAGTAATGTTTCAGGTAAAGACTCACAAAATTATAATCATCTTTATTAGTTCATTTAGTCCATGTTATTACTTCTTGCCGACCTTGATCTTTTTGTTAACAGTTTTTAAATTTTAATTTAATTTTTATTTCTTATTTTTAATGCTTACACTTTTGTTTTATTTTGTTTTTTTAATATATCTTTATTGATTTCCGAGAGAGGAAGGGAGAGGGAGAGAGAGAGATAGAAACATCAATGATGAGAGTCATGGGTCGGCTGCCTCCTGCACAGCCCCCGACTGGGGATCCAGCCCGCAGCCCGGGCACGTGCCCTGACCCGGAATCGAACTGCGATCTCCTGGATTATAGGTCGATGCTCAACCGCTGAGCCACACCCGGCTGGGCAGTTTTTAAAAATTTTTTAAATTGTTTTGAGAGAGAGAGGAAGGGAGCGGGAGAGAGAGAAACATCGATGAGAGAGAACCATCGGCCGGCTGCCCCCTGCATGCCCCCTACTGAGGATCGAGCCCGAAACCCAGGCTTGTGCCCTGATCTATAACCTTTCGGTGAACGAGATGACCAACCGAGAGCCAAACCAGCCAGGGCTGGTAACAGTTTTATGATCCAGCTTTTCCTTAGAATTCTCTAAATCTTTACTCAGTTCAGTTTTATGCTTTTAAATTTAACCTGTGTTGTCGGGATTTGTTTTTATGAATTTCTGAAGATGAGACACGCTGGTAGGAACATTTTTGTCAGAGCATCCGAGGGAAGCAGTGACTGCCTGCGAATGACAAATGACTCAAAAACGGCTGCAGCTGGAGACCTGTGGGAGTGCTCAGACGCACACGCGAGGAACTGGCCTAGCCCTGCTTCCCAGCCTTCGCGTCACCATGCATAATTCTTCCCCCTCAAAAAAAAGC